TATTATGATATTATGACACTCCGGGATCAGCACTTGGTATTTTAGTGTCTCTTTTTCTTCAGAGCATCTGTTCATTTCATCATGTGTCATATGATCAGTTCTCATAAACTGTTTATAGATTCTACACATGCATGAATCTTAACATGTATTTCTATCATTTCTATATTAGAGGGAGAAACAAAACAAAGCAAGGCAAAGCAAAACATATTCCTATAAACACATGAAATGAAATAAACATATAAGACCATTGTATGAATCATTCTACCATAGTTCCTGTTCTGTCTCTTGTTATCTCCAATAGAATTGGCAAATTGGCAAGAGCAAACAGCAAGAGAAAGAAATAAAAGGGGTATGTTTAGGAAAGGAAAAAGACAAACTGTCCTTACAGATGATGTGATACTTTACATGGAAGATCCAAAAACTCTATCAAAAGACTACTAGAACTAATAATCTAATTCAGCAAAGCAATGGGATTCAAAATAAGTTCACAAATACTAATAGCATTCCTTTGCACCAACAATGAACACAAAGAAAAAGAATTTAGGAAAACAATCCCACTTGCAACAACTTCAAAAAAATAAATACTTAGCAATGAATTTAACAAAGGAAGTGAATGACCTCTGTGACAAAAATTGTACAATTCTGATAAAGAGAAAAAATATCAGATAATGGAAAGGTATGTCCTGTCCCTGGATAAGCAGGACAAATATTGCCAAAATGGTCATATTATCAAAGTTAATATATTAATTTAATGTAATACCAATTAAAGAAATTTTATAAAGGCAGAAAAAAACAACCCCAAAATTTACATAGAACCAGATATGACCCAGAATAACAATCCTGCACAACAGCTACAAAGTAGGAAGAATCAAACTCATGATTTTAAGTTAAACAGCATTAGAAAGTTATGATGATAAAACCCAAGCATACTGTTGTCACAAAACAGATATGCAAATCAAAGGAACATAATAAATGATGCAGAAACAGCTCTAGGCACATTCAGTCATGCGCTCTTCAATAAAGGGGCCAAAAATACATGTTGGAGTAAATAAATGGTACTGGGAATATTATCAGATGCAGAACAATAAATCTATCCTCATATCTAACACCTTGCACTAAAGGAAAATAGAAAGAGACCACTTATATAGTTCTTAAAACAGAAACACTTAATCTGCTGAAAGATAAAATAAATAAAATTCTTAAAATATATGTCCAGGCAAAGACTTTATAAAAAGAATCCTGACTGAAGAAGAAATAATGCCAGAATTCAAACAAATGGGTTTCTATTAAAATACAAGCTTCTGAATAGCAAAAGTAACCAACAGAATGAAGAGACAACTTATGAAATAGGAAAAAATTTATTGTCTATTCTGTCAACACAAGACTATAATAGAGAATATATAAAATCTCGAAAATCTTAATTCCTCTAAAACAAGAGATCCAATCAAAAATGAGCAATTAGAATAAATATATGCTTCAAAAAATATAAATCTCTAGGAAGTACACGAAAAAAAGTTCAGTATGTTTGGCCATTACAGAAATGTAAGTCAAAACAATACTTGAGAGCTCATCTTACTCCAGCAAACATGGGCAACAGGAAGAACTCAAAAAACAACAAATGCTGGTGAGATTTGAAGGAAAAAGTAACCTTTATGCATGGTTTACCTATTGTAACCATTATATGGGCAATTCTTAAAAAATAAAAACATAGAAATTCTATTTGACACAGTTATACCTCTTCTGAGTGTCTTCCTGAAAGAGTTAAAGACGTTATAGTATGTTGATACATGCATACCCTGCTTATAGCAACACGACCCACAAGAGCTAAATCTTAGAAACAACCTACATGTCTCCTGATGCATTAATGGACATGCAAAATTTGGCACATACACACAGTGGAATACTACTCAACTATACATGAGGATGCATTTGAATCACTTATAGGAAAATGGATGCACCTGGAGACCATGATCTAAGTGAAATACAAGACACAGAAAGTTTTCCTCTTGGTGAAAAACCCAGGTTAGAAATAATTTAAAGAGAAAAATAAAAGACAGATGATAGGAAACAGGAGGTAAGACTTTTAAGATGGGAAAGAGAAGCAGGATGGAGAGGAGCAAGTGGAGTGAAAAGGAGAATAAAACTGATCAAGATGTGATATACGGTTAACTCCACATGATGAATGTGTTCATTATATACTGCAAACACATACTAACAAAAGTATGAAGGTTATAATTTAAAGAAGCAAAGCTACAAACATTAATATTTCTGAAAGTATTAGCACTAGAAAATTATTTCCTCATCATTCTGGAGTTAGAAGTCCACGATCAGTTTACTAATGACACTGATATTTCTAAGACTTGTCTCCTCTGTAAAATTTTTATTTATCCTCATTAATTTGATCCAGTGATGCTGTCTTAAAGTAGGAACCCCAGATTCCTAATTCTGATCCTGTGTGAGGTTGATATTATAGATTATTTGGAGAACATTCTGTTAAGATCTTCAAATTGTGATGATTTCAGCTCTTGAAGTTTTGCTGTTTTAGGGGAAGGGAATGCTACCTGACTCCAACATTAGTCCTCATGGTATGAGAAGTTTACTCCACACACACAGTCTTAGGGTGTGACTCCCCTGTCACCTCCGGAATCTCTTTTGAGAAATTTCCTTCTTTCCTGAGCTAATTCTTTTTTCTTTCACATGGTCCACATGGTGACCTTGTGCTTTTGGTTTTTCCAAGGGACCATTTCTTCTAATGTAATTATCTTTCCTCACCCTCTGATTATTCAGACACTTTCTATCTTATTCTTTAGACCTTCCATTCCTAGGATGTAATCAAAATCATCTGATTATGGAAGATACATGTTCAGTTGGCTAAAATTAAGAAGAAGATGCTCATTTTAACACTATGTGATGACATACGAAAATTAGTTTACCCCTCTTGCCCTATAAGAGACATCTATCACAAAACTAGACCTCCTGCTTCTCTAAAGTTAAAAGCTTCTAGGGAAAAGAATGTAACCGACTAGGTAAAACACATTGAAAAATGTTCTACAGAGGTATTTGTTTATAGTTTTAAATGACTCCCTTCAGTGAAGACAATATTAACCACTATTACTTGTTTCTACATAATTTCACATAAATTCAAAAATGAAGACAATGCTATTATCCAATTTTGAATTTCTAGACTATTATTTTAGAGGATCTGCCTTATAGATATTATTGATCAGGTTTTTTCCATGTATTCATAACTTCTGACTAAACACCTTCTTATTCATTTACAATAACGAGGAGGCAATGCAGAAGCATTCTATTACAAAGCTCCCTCCTCAGTCCTTTTTAAACTTTGTTTCGAGAGAAGTCTGGCTAAGGTGGCTACGCTACTCTCAAACTTTTATGATTCTTACCTCAGCCTCCTCAATAGCTGGGATTACTAAGACATTTTCTACGAGACAAAATTAATCCATTTTCTGTCCCTGACCAAAAGTCAGTTCTTATCAATCTTAGCACACTTTGTAAATTATTTTTTATCCTTTCCATTTACAAGGGACTATAACTTGTAAAATAACTTAATTCTATAAATTCACAGTTTAATCGTGTCGGTAATTTAAAAATTTTATTCTTGAGGAATTTTGGGAGATTCAGTGTGAATTAGTTGAAATAGATCAGGTACAAAAATTAAATTTAATATATAATCTTTTGAGTATGATTAAAACATTTAAGGGTGATGGTATATTGAGAAAAAGATTCACTTTTAATCGACAAATGTTTAAGCAATAGGGCAAGTTTCTGAAAAAAAATTTCTATTTAACCTAAGCCTTAAAAATCTGGCAGAATATTTCAATACGAGTAATATTTTGTCAGACTGAGGAAGCAACATACGTACAGTAAAAAATATTGTGACATTCAAACTTAGGCCATCTTAAACACCAGGACTAGAGAGACAGAAAGTTACTCAATGAAAAAGGAGTGTAAGAATAGTATTGAAATTTCCAGAGAATAAAAATTAAACAATTGCATATTATTCAGAAAACTTTAATTGATGGTAGAAAATGTTGAAAGAGGAAAATAGGAAGCATGAGTTTAAGACAACTGGCTAATCAAAAGCAATGAGCTTCTGAGTAAATGGATCTAGTAGAAAGAAAAGAAAGGAGAATCCAGGGTAGAAGACATTTCTGTAGTAAAGTAGACAAGAATTGAATTGGACATGGAGATTAGAAGTCACTATAGCATCAAAGTTTACACCATGAGGGTGTAATCAGGCAACGTAAAGCAGAAGAGATTCCAACACACACAAAATTACTGACTGACTACAATACCAAGTATTGTTGGATGTTTAGAAAAGAGAGCCATTGGAGTTTGGAGTAATTGAGGAAAAGGTTTTTTGAGATCTTAGCAAAAATTTAAGATGAGATTGATAAGTAATGTGCACATAGAATACATAATTTTGTATTTAGGATCTAATATTTTAAAAGTATGCTTTTACATTTTATTCTTTCCTTTCAATAGTACTCAAGATGATCAAAGAGAGAAGAAATTAAACTTAGATTCATTTAAGATGATACTAAGGCAACTCAGGTCAGGAAAAGACTTATTTAAATTTTATTTTTATATTCTTCAATTTATTTTTAATCCGCAAGCAACAAATTTACACTCTTTGGTAGATAGTTTTCAAGGGTGTTGACAAGTGCATAAAGTTTGTAGCTCCAAAAGAACAAGATATGGAACATTTCTATCTCTCTGAAAAGTTTTTTCTTGTCCTTTGTAGTCAGTCTCAACTCCTGCATCTAGACATTTGCAATCACAGATCCAGACTCCTTTTGCAGTTTTGCTTTTGTAAAAAGTTATTTTGGTAGGCAGGGTTTTAAGATTGGTATTAATGCCTAGTCATAATAATTCCTGTGGTTATGCAAATATACATTATCTACATGTATATCTATCTATTGCTCTATAATGTAATTGCATAAGCCCCTAAAGACAGCATTTTTGTCTTCTGGTTACAGGAAAAGAAGTCAAAGATTTGAAGCATCAGGTTGATTTAAAGTGTCTCATTGGCTTGCAGATGAGGGAGATGTGGGAAGGATGTGAAAACGGAGCTGAGAGCAATTTCTGGCTAACAAGTGACAAAGAAACAAGTACCTACAAGTGCCTGCATCCTATAATAATTGGGAACTGAATTCCGCCAGTAACAGAGATGACTTTGGAAGCTGCTTCTAACCCAGAACTTTCAGATAAATATCCAACTCTAAGAACACAACTAGAAAATCCAATTCACCCTACTCTAGACTTTTGACATGTAGAAGTATAAGCTAATAAATGAATTTTGTTTTTTAAGCTGCTGAGTATATGGAAATTTGTTATTCTGTGATAGAAAATGAATAGCCATATAAATAGAAACATAGAGCATTTAGTTATTTAAAACTTGTTTGTTTCATTCAATATCCTTAAGACATTTGAGATTCATATGTATTATTATGTGAGTCACTGGGTAGTATTCTATAGAATGAACACACCACAATTTGCTTACTCGTTTATTTTTGTGTTTCTTATTCCCGGCAACTAGGAAAAAAAGCTATTTCTACTACTAGTGTATAAATTTTATAGAAATTGTTTTAATTTTTCCTGTATTGCTACCTAGGAGTGAAATTTCTACATGACACAAGGTATGCTAAAATCTATAAAAACTGTCAAATTGTATTTTTACTAGCATAGCAAGTTTGGTATTTGTATCAGTAATATATGAGTCCTAGTAAATATCATCAATCACATTTACTTTAGCTGTGAAAATAGCTATATAGTGGTGTGTTGTTGAATCTGCTTTTAAAAATGTTTATCACAAACTTTGGAGGTTCTGCAAAAGTTATCACCTTTGAAATAATGTGGCATAAATATTAGCATGTTTCAGTATGTCCACTTTAAAAATCACATCTTGAAAATGTACCTTTGTGATAGGAAATAAGTTCAAGTGAGGATATGGACAAATTTAAAGTGTCATACATTGCTGGTGGGAATGAAAAATGGTACAGCAGCTGTGGAAAGCAGTTGCCAGGTACTCAGTTAAACGAACTTCCCATTGAGCCAAAGTTAAACACACATACACACAAAAGCTTCTACAGCAGGGTTCTTGATATCCTAAGTGCGGAAACAACCCAAAGGTCCATTAAGTGATAGGCAAAAGGCGGTATATCTGTATGATGGAAGTTAGCCATAAAATGGAATGCATTGTTTTCTTAAAAAAATACACCTTTGATCCAGACAATCATGTTTTAATTAATATTTCTGTATTGATACATTAAAAAAGTAAATTTGAGCTAAGAAACATTTATATTCAACATTTATTGTATCAGCTATCCCCCAGGAACCAGATTTCACCATAACAGATGGCCCTTCCCTGAAGAATTTCATGCCCACTGGAGAAACAGACACATATAAATTTAATAGTGCCTAGTAATTGTCAGAGTGGAAGTATGTAAGATGTGTTGATAGGTCACAGGTGAGAGAGCAAAGAATTCTGCCTAAGAGACCACGTTGGTGAGATTACAAGATATGAGCTATAATTACAGTTATGCAATGACTGAAAGTGAAACTTGGAATTAGCACTGAGTATTATATTTGCATAAAATATACAGCTAGTGTTTAAATGGAATCATTTTGTATAATCTAATGATAAAAGATTTTTCTCTCAGTTTCTTTCATGTGTTTGGAATCTTTCCCAAATAACTGTATTAGGGATATCAATACACACAACGTAAACCATGAAATTGTGGACTTCCATTTGTAGGATTCTTATTCTTACAAATGTGTTTTCATAGTAGAGGACCAAAATTGGCCTAACAAAGATTCCTAGAATTTTAAGGGAACCAGCAAACACTGTTGACAAGATTTTTGGTAGAATCTTTGTAGTCTTGTTGAGTCTTTTGTCTTGAAATTAGAATTATTCAAAAATCATTTAAATTAATCAATAGTTTATAGAGTATTAGTATTGATTAATTATTAATTATTGTGTCCATGTATGCATACACATGCATGCCAATCATAAGGCTTGTAATCTGCTCATTCTGTGACCTTAAAATTTCTTTTTCATGAGCAACTTAACAATATTCTCATATGAATTATATATACATGCTAAACAATTAAAAAGTTAAAGATAATAACATGTATTAACTTTTGTTATTTTCTTATGAAATTTTTAATTTAAAAATTTTGTTTTACTTTTTCATAAGATAAAAAAAAACCAAAATGGCTTTACCAGCATCACACGCCCACCCCCCACCCCCGCAAAGAATACATAGTTAGTTTTATATTGACCAGAGATATTTATTTGGAGAGCTGTGCCGAAGTACCAGAGTATAAAGCATAAAGTCCAAAGATGTTGCCTACAAGTATCTTAAAGTCCTATTTATGTTTGGACATGTCTCTTTCAAGTGTCTCTCATAAATTATATACATATGATAATTTTTTTCAAAAGTACAAGTGTAGCTTTGTTTTTACAGTATATGCAATATTCCCTATATCCTGGCCCTGAGGATCAATGCTAGGGCTGACATAGGGGAGCAAGTGAGAGGAAACAAATTTTGCCAAACAACTTAACAATTCCACATAATGGAATAAATGTAGGGCTAATCATTTCAAAATTAGAAAATTATTATTCAAAAGGCAATCTCATGTACAATACCACAGTTCTAAAGAAAACATTTGGATATTTTTAGTTGTATTCCATTTTAACCTTCAGGAGCATTTTCATTGAGGTAACATTTATTTCTGAGATGTGTAATCTGGGCTCAGCAGGTTGCAATGCTAGAGACTTTGATGTTCACCAAGTTTGTTTATGAACTGTGCTAGAGATGGCAATCCAATATCTTCAAGGAAAATTCAGAGACAAACATAGCACACATTTTTTTTTTCTGTTCTGTTCATAATTGTGTCTTTACTGCCTGAATGTAACCAAGGGCTTGTTAGAAATGTAAACAAGATTGCCTTTGTGCACCAAAGAGAATGTGATTGGTGTACCAATATCAAAAGCCAGCACATTTTAGGTGATGCAAAATATGCTAGAATGTGTGCAGTATCCTGAAGCACTTCTAAAACTGTCTGAAGCAGAAAATAGGCACTGATTCTACAGTATTATATGTGATTTGTGTATAATAACATCATTAAAGTATTAACAATGTTTTCTTTTGTTTGTTTTTGGCTTTTTTCCTGCTCATGAGTTTGAGCGAGGTGTAAGAGCCTGCAAGACACCATATTGCAATTTTTGAGAGCTTTGTTTTTGATGGCTTGCAATAAACCACATAAGATATTCCCACTGGGGAAAAAGAAGTTATAAACTGTCTTGAATATTACAATTTACATGATTTGGAGCTTTAGGATCTCTTGTTTAAATTTTTTACTCTAGCAAATCATCTATTGTTTCCTGTTTGAAAACAATGATTTGAATATAAACCAACTCCAAAGGGCACAATAAAGAAATTTTGACAAGCTAATTAATTTGTTAAAAAAAAAAAGAGAGAGAGAACACAAACTCTGAATTTGCTTTTGAGGATGCCTCAAAATCATACACTTCATTTGCAGAATCAGTGAAAACCAATTTCCCTGATAAACAAAGAGTAGAGCTCAACAGACTGCATCTAATGATGCCATGTCCCCAGGTAGTGCTGTGAAATATATCAGCACCCATCCAAAAGAGTTAATTAGGAATGTCAGATGAAAACACTTAACTTTTTTAAATCCTCTACTACAGACAAGGATTTTCATTTTCATAAAATTATAAATTTAGAATTTTAAGTGATAAATCTATCATCTCCTCTACATCTAAAGAAATAAGAATGGTGACAAATTTCAATCTTTTTTAAAATTTTTTATCCCCAAAGATATTCTTCAAGTTTCTACAAATACTGCCATCGTGTCAGAATTTTTTTGAAGGGAAATAAATGTGTGTCCTAAAAATAAATGAACCAGATGAGTAATTCTTTTAGTCGTCTATTAAAAACAAGTGTAACTTGTTTATAACTAAATGTTCTTTGAATTTTTTAAACATAAAGGGAAATGTACACTTTAGACATTTAAAAAATCTACATGTTGATCAAATTTTTAAAATCTTTGTACACATCTTTTATTCTATTTATGGATAAACGACAGCTATCAGTGTTGAAGGGGAAATCTTTTACTACTTGGTTGAACAAACATTTTGCAATCACCAGAAACTAATTTTGCTCATCTCAAACCTACTTTTTTTGTTGGAGAGACTGAGTCTCTGGCTAGAGCTGCTGAACTAGGCATCTATGACTTTCTGCTGTTGCTTTTATTTTCTTGTAGCCTGTTTTTAAAGAGCAGTTGGAATAAGCATGTTAAAGTGTATGTCATGAACTGGAGATTTAGCTCAGTGGCTCAAGCACTTGCCTGGTAAGTGCAAGGTCATGAGTTCAATCACTGATACCAAAAAATTAAAGTATAAGTCCTTTGGTTGTTCTCACACCAAATTCTCTCAGAGATTTCTCATCTCACTAAAAGATACAATAGAAATCTTTCTACAATTTCCAATGACCTTGAATACTCTGCTCCTTCATGTTCCCCTTTTATCTCTGACCACATCTCCCCTCTCTTCTTTACTTCTGTGATTCTAGACGCTTAGTAAATTTGAACATTTGTAGAGAGCTCCAGGCACACTGATACTTCATAAGATTTGCATTTGCTATGCAAACTTTCTTCCTGTCATGTACTTTACCTGCACTCTGCATGACTTTCTTTTTCCTGAGAGGGGTGGCTGCGATTCCTGATTACAATAATGCTGCCTATTTGAGAACCTCTTTGCACATCTTAAGATTCTCTCTTTCTCCTTCCCATTACTAATGCAAAGTTGCGATCTTTCTTATTTGATGTTTCTCTCTTACTATCTAATGTACATATGCCTTTCTAATAAATTTTATTTACTATCTGCCCCCCTACAGGAATATTACACTCCAGAAAGGGATTTACTGATAGGAATACATTCTGAGACACAATATGACAAGGAGATAAGACACAGAGTTATGGGCAGTAATACAAAGTATTCTTTCAATACAAGTGGTCACACAAGGACACCTGAGAAGAAATAATTAAACTGATGACTGAAGGACAAATTTCAAGGCAAAGAAAAGTGTCAAATGCCTAAACTAACAGAGTATGAATCTGTGTTTAATCAAATTCATTATTAACCTGCAAGGGTTAATTTCTTCTTTGTCCCTAGATAATATGCTGTTTTCTAAGGAATGTAAGACAGACTGCTAACTATAAAGGCATTAATTATCTATCTGGTGATACAACTCTCAATGATCCCAAATAAATATAAAAGGTGGGATTTCAGTAAGAGAATGCAAGATATGAATGAGGTTTGTAATGATCGGCTAGAAAATGTAGAAGCATGAAGACTAGAAACCTGGGCAAAGCAAGGGAAAGGCTGTGTATGAAAAGAGTAACAAAGAAGCATGCTTTAATCAGGTATTGTGGTGGAGACGGGAAGTCAGAGTGTATAGGAAGGGAGGCACATGTCTTGAAAACAAGACACATAAATTTAAGGCTCATTTATAGAAACCAGTGGAGTTATCCTTGATTCTTTCATTTTACTCATTTTCATACCCAATTCATCAGCAGAACATGTGGAATCTGTCTCCAAAACATATCCCAACATATTTACTTTTCCAGTGACTTCCAAATTCAACACTTCAGGCTTGAAGCAAGAGATTTCTAACAGCTCTCTCTTTCTACTTTTGTCCTTCTGAATTTTACTTTTCACGTGATAGCTGTGGTCATCTTATATAAATATGTTTTGAGTTTCTGCCCAGAATGCTTCACCAGCTTTCTTTTGTACTTAGAATGAAATTCCAACTCCTTATCATGACCTACAAATCCTGCAGAATCGACCTCCACCCCACAGGCTTCTCCCTCCCAATCTTTTATGAGGTATCCTCTGTTTCTCCATGCTTCAAACACATGTTCCCGATATTCTTAATTTTCTAAAATTCATCGAGTTTTAGCAGGCTTTAGAAACTTAGATGTTTTTAGGCCTTTGCTTTAACTATTTTTCACTCATTTTCACATAGTTGTCTTCTTTTCACTATTCATGACTTTTCTTAAATGTCAAGTCCTTACAGGCATCATCTCTGACAATCTTACCTAACATGGTACCCTTGCCATTTCATAAAACATTATCCAACTAGATGGCTTCCCTAGATTTAACCATTAAGTGAAATATGTTGTTTACATATTTACCTTTTTATTATTCATCTCCTTCTATGAGGATATAAGGACCATGACAGTGAGATCTACAATATTTGTCTTTTCCCTTACCACGAATCCAAAGACCAAAAACTTTTTATAAACATATATAAAATATAGTAGGTATAAATAAATTTAGTTGAATAAATGAAAATAGGAAACAAGTGAACATTTAGTTTATTTATGTGAAATTCTGAAAGCATATTTTGGAGTGTGCAATGAACAAAATCCTGAAGTATTTGCCCTGACAATAAAGATACACTGATATTTGGAATATAATTCATAAAATAAATCAATGAGATTTACTGATAGGAAATAGAGACTTACAATGAAATCAAACAAAAATATACATAAGAGGATTCTAATCATCAATGAATGAGTCAAAAATTTCTCTCATACAGTTTTCACAAGATAGGCTAATTTATCATTATTGATATTAGTAGTTAGCAAATGTTGTTTATGATTGGGCATAGCACGGTGCACAAATTTGGTTTTTATGATTGCTATCCTGGCATATTTTTGCAATACTATTGTTGTCCTTGTTATTGTGGATTTATTTGCAATTGTGAGCCCATAATGAGGTGTGAACTGCTCCCATGGAGTAAGTAAAGCACTTTTGGAAAGTTGTATTATATTGTGGAGCCATTGGGGTTCTATTAACTCAGCTATTACCACCCTCCATTTCCCTATCTAGGTTTTCATCATAGTCCTCTATCTTTGAGGAAAAGCCTTAAATCACCTTCCAACTGTATTTCTCTCTTCCACCTCTTTTATGTCAAGACATCCTTTGTCCATCATATTTCCCTGTCTCTGTTTTATTTTGGATGATTTGTTTGAGGAAAAGACTTATTACATACCCCAGGATCACCTTATACTCTAAAAAACTATGAAGGACCGAAACAATTTGTTATATGGGTGTTTTCTGGCAATAGCCATCATATTAGAAGAAACTATATGCTTGCAAAAGAATAAGAGTAAAAATTAAATGATATCACCATTAAGTAATACTGTTACAAAAAATTATAATATGGCAATGCTCTGTAATGTCATTTATCCTGGAAGGATAAATGCTATCCTTCAAGGAATGCATGTAGACTAAGAAAGAAGTTTTAGCTGAAGATAACAAGTAACTGGATTTTTTGTGTGTGCTTTTGTTTCTATTGATCTGTTCTTTTTATCTCTTATTTCTTGAAATTATTCTTACATGGAGATGATATATGACCTATATTACTTTTAAGTACATGATTATCATAGTTCTTTTCAAGCTATATTTTTATTTTTTGAATTTAAAATTTCTAAAGCAGATCATATGCTAATCCAGTAATCCAAAATCTGGATTTTGTGTGAGGTGTGAAAAATGACTTTTTCTTCTGTCAATCAATGATTTTTGACAGAAAAAAGAAACCAAGATTTTACTTGCCTCTTTAGTAAAAGTACTGAGGATGTTATTTGATACACATTATATTAGAAATTGAATGCATTAAGCTAATTTATTCATCATGAATCTCAGTCAGTTAATTACATTGTTAAATTATGGGGGCACAGGATATATAAGTTTTGATAAAAATATTATAAGACATGAAAAGAGAGAGGAGAAAGTAGATGAGTCTATTTGCTGGTGGTAAACAAGGGATTAGTTTCTATGCACAATGGTTTCCCTGTGACAGTAATGATAGTATTTCCCCTTAAGAATTGCTATGAAAATGAAGTACACTAAGGAGTTAATTCACATAGAATTCTTAGATCATTGTTGTACTTAGAGCCTTCCACATATGAAAGTAATATATTTTCAGAAGTGCATTTATAATTTTAGTAGTTATTTTTAAAAGAGAAACAATAGAAGTGTGAAAAGAAGGTTAAAATCATCTGCTTCTAGTTCAGTTTTCTCCATAGCTGAACCCACTTATACTTTTGAGATTT